ATAAAATTGATAAATCTCCAACCAGATAATGAAAAAATGCAAATTAACATCATACAGGCTTCCTGGACTGAATAATGAATAAGTAGAAAATCTGAATAGACCAATCAATAGTAAGGAAACTGAACTAGTAATAAAGAATATCCCAAAAAACAAAAGTCCAGACCAGATGGCTTTACTGGTAAATCTACCAAACATTCAAATATTTAATACCTATCCTTCTCAATACTTCCAAAAAATTGAAGAGATCATACTTCTCAACTCATTTTATGAGGCTAATGTTACCCTGATACTCAAACCAGAGAACAACAATACACACACACACATACACAAAAGGAAAATTGTAGGCCAATACCTCTAGTGAATATAAATGCCAAAATCTTTAACAAAATGTTAGCAAACCAAACCTAACAATACAGTTAAAGGTCATATGCCATGGTTAAGTGGGTTCACAGCAGGGTTCCAAAAATGGTTTGGCATCTACAAATCACTCAACCTGATAGAGTATGTTAACAAAATGAAGGGTAAGCATCATATGATCATTATTAATAGATACAGAAAAAGCATTTGACAAAGTGCTTTTTTATCATTGACCTTTATGATAAAAATATCAATAAAAGGTGTGTAAAAGTAAAAGTACCTCAGTAACAAACATATATTACAAACCCACAGCTATCATTATTCTTAATGGTGAAAAACATAAACCTTTTCCTCTAAGATCGGGAATAAAACAAGGATGACCACTATAGCCAATTTTATTCAGCATAGTATTGGATGTCCTAGTGAGATCCATCAGTCAAGGAAAAGAAATAAAAGCTTCCAAATTGGGAAGAAATAAGTAAAACTTTCATTATTTGTGGATGATGTAATTATATACATAAATATATATGTGTGTGTGCATGCATATGTGTATATATGCATATGTGTGTATATATATATACACACATATGCATATATACACATATGCATATATATATATATGCATATATAACAAATATATATATATATATATATATGTGACTCAACCCAAAAACCATTAATGAGAGTAAATAAATACAATAAAGTTTCAGGGTACAAAACCAATATACAAAGTTCTCTTGCATTTCTATACGTTAATACTCAGACAAAGAAATAATGAAAACTATGCCCTTTATAGTCACAACAAAAAGAATAAAATGCCTATGAATAAATTTAACAAAGGAGGTGAAAGACATTGTTGAAAGAAATTGAAGAAGACAAATGGAAAAATATTCCATGCTCATTGATTGAAAGAATTAACATTGCAAAATGCCCATAAAGCAATCTACAGATAAAATGCAATTCTGACCAGAATCCCAATGGTATTCTTCACAGAAATAGGACAAAGAAAATCCTTAAGTTGTATGGAACAATAAAAGACACCCAAATAGCCCAAGCAAATCTGAGAAAGAGGTTAAAAATGGAGGCATCATTCTTCCTAATTTCAAACTATACCCCCAAACTACAGTAACCAAACAGTATGGTATTGGCAGAAAAACATACAGATCAGATCATAAATATATTTTTGTGTGACTAATTTATATATAATTTATATATATATATGATTAATCTATAACAAAAGCATCATATAATGAAGAAAAGTTTCTTCAAGAAATAATGTTGGGAATAACAGCCATATTCAAAAGAATAAAACTAGACCACTATTATATACTATATACAAAAAAATTCAAAGTAGATTAAGACTGGAATATAAGGCCTGAAACCATAATGTATGTGGAAGAAAACATAGCCACTAAGCTGTGGATATCTCTCTTTGTGTTGTTTTGTGGACTTTGCTCCAGTGGCAAAGGAAACAAAAACAAAAAAATGGGACTGCATTAAACTTAAAAGCTTCTACACTATAAAGAAAACCATCAATAAAATGAAAATGCAGCTGACCAAATAGAACAAGATATTTTCACATGATACTTTCAATAATGGGTAAATATCCAAAGCATATAAAGAAACTATATAGCTAAACAACAAATAAATAATTTGATTAAAAACCTAACAGAGGATGTGAATAGACAATTTTCTTAGGAAGGCATGCAGATGGCCAACAAGCACATGAAAAGATTTCAACATCACTAATTATTAGGGAAATGCAAGTCAAAGCCATAGTGAGATATTACCTTCCACTTATTAGAAACGCTGTTATCAAGAAGATAAGAAGTAAATGTTACAGAGGATGTGGTAAAAATGGAATCCTTACACAGTGCTGGTGTGACTATAAATTGGCACAACCACCTTGAAAAACAGGAGGGAGATTCCTCAAAAATATAAGAATAAAACTTACATTACTTAGCAATGATTTTTCTTGATACTTACCTTAGGAATATGAAAACACTAATTTGAAAAGATATATGCACCTCCATGTTCACTGCAGCAATTTTTATTATAGCCAAGAAATAAAACAGCCTAAGTGTCTACACAAACACAAAATAGAATACTACTCAATCATTAAATATATGAGATATTATCATTTGCAACAGCAGGATCTATTTTAATATGATCTAGAGGATATCATATGAAGTAAACTAAGTCAGGAGCAAAGTCTTATGATTTCACTAATACTTGGAATATTATACAAAAAAAACCCAAACTCACAGATACATGTAACAGATTGGTGGTTTCCAGAGAAGAAGTGTGGTGGCAGGGAGGGTGAAATGGGTAATAAGGGTCGATCCATGGTCACAGATGGAAACTAGAGTGTTGGCAGTGAGCATGCCATAGTGTGCGCAGAAGCTGAATCACAGTGCTGTATGCCTTAAACATATACCATACTCTTAACCAATGTGACCTCAATAAAAAGACAAGAGATAAATGCTGGTGGGACCATGCAGAAAGGGGGACCCTTGTGCATGGATGGTGGGAGAGTAAACTGGTACAGCCACCTTGGAAAACAATATTAAGGACCCTTAAAAATTAAAAAATATAACCACCATATCAAATAATTCCACTTCTGGAATATACCCAAAGGAAACAAAAATCACACAAACTCAAAAAGATATCTGCACCCCCATGCTTATAAATGTTATTTATAATGGTCAAGACATGGAATCCACCTAAGTACCTATCAATGAATAAAGTTTTATACACAAAATATTGAGCCATAAATAAGAAGGAAATCCTATTACTTTTGACAATGCGGATGGATCTGGAAGGCATTATGTTAAGTAAAATGAGTCAAAAGATGACAAATATTGTATGATCTCATTTATCTGTGGAATCTTAAAATTGTTAATAGGAGAAAAAGATATCGAACTCATGGTTACCTGGCACAGAAGACAGGGGTGAAGGGGAATTGGAGGAAGGTGGTCAAAAGTACGAACTTCCACTTGTAATACAAATAAACACTAGGGAAGTAATGTACAATTGTCATGGCTGTGACGCTGCTCTCTGATGCACAGCAGTCTCCCCTTGCCCACGTGGGAAACATCCCAGGACCCCCAGTGGGTGCCTGAAACTGTGGATAGTACCAAACCTTGTGTATATACTGTTTTGTCCTACACATACCTACATACCTATGATGAATTTTAATCTACAAATTAGACACCCATAGTAGATTAACTTATACTACAACAATTACAACAATATACTGATAAAAGTTATGTGAGTGTGGTCTTAGCAAACTAGCTCCAATTTCTCTTACCTTCTTCACAGTTTCACAGATAGACTTGTTCTTATTATAGACCTTAGTACCCTCTGCATGCAGATTTTATTTTTTCCTTAAAAAGCGAACACTTTAAGCTTTTCACATAAAGGAGACACTTCATAGCTTCTCTTTGGCATATTTCAGTTGCCAGCACCACTACCATTGTGCTTTGGGGTCATTATCTAGAAAAATAACACTTCCGTGAACAGAAACAATGGGATAACATGACAATGAACTTGATAGCCAAGACAACTGTGAAGTCACTACCAAGAAGGTAATATATGCTGGACACAGGGGATGCTCCGTGTCCCCAGGGGGTGGAATGGGATAGCACGAGGTTTTACCATACTAATTACTACTTCAGACTGCGGGTCGACCATGGGTAACTAAAACCACCCATGGAAAGCAAAGCTATGGAAAAGGAGACACCATTGTATAGGAAAGTTATTAAGAGAGTAAATTCTGAGAGTTCTTATCACAGAAAAAAACCTCTTATTTTTATTGTACCTATATGACACAATGGCTATTAGCTGTACCTGTTGTGATAATCATTTCACAGTACAGTCGACCCTGGAACAGAACAGGCTCGAACTGCGTACAGTTGGTTCTCCATATCCCAGGATTTTGCATCTGCAGATTTATCCAGCCATGGACCAAAAAACAGTGGTTTTCAGGGAACCTGTGGATGCAGAGGGCCTACTATATGTGTTTTCAAAGTCATTCAATATAAGGGACCAACAGGGGCATCCAACTTTTTGGCATCTCTGGGCCACACTGGAAGAAGAGTTGTCTTGGACCACACTTTAATACACAAACACTAACAAAACCTGATGAACAACAACAAAAAGATTTACATAAATTAATGATTTTGTGTTGGGCTGCAATCATAGCCATCCTGGGCCATGTGAGGCCCACGGGCCATAGGTCAGGCACCCCCTGGTAGAGCATCTGGGGATTTGGTATCTGCAGATTGTCCTAGAACCAATGACTGAAGCTTTGGCTGGTCAAAGGTGAAAAGGTAAAGGGACTAAGAGGAAGTCCCCCCCCCACAACAGTATGGTGACTAACAGCGGGAAAGGGTGTGGAGGGAGGTGTAAGGGGTAGAGGGAGGATTCATGGTGATTGAAGGAGACTTGACTTGGGGGGGGTGAACACACAGTGCAATATACAGGTGATATATTATAGAATTGTACGCCTGAAACCTGCATAATTTTGTTAGCCAATGTCACCCCAATACATTCAATGTTAGGAAATGTTTCCTAAAAATTATATATGCTTTATCATAGATATGTTAACACTACAATGTGTACCATTGTATTTGTCATTGCAGATGGCCTCTAGGATCTGAAGGCTGTCTTCCTCAAGAAACTTTCAAGCTGCAACCACCAAGAAATAAACCCCACTAATAACCTGGAAGCCTCTCTTTCCCCATTTGAGTTCCAGTGTGACTGCAGCCCCGCTGATACCTGAGTTGAAGCCCAGTGAGGACCTGTGTCCAAACTTCTGACCTGCAGAGACTAGGAGATAAGGAATATGTGGTGGTTTAAGCCACTAAATTTGTTGTGACTTGTTATGTATAAATAGAAAGATAATATACTTTGTTCTCAGTTTCTTCAAATGGGACATGAAAAATATGGTATTTAGCTCACAGCAATGTATAAAAAATTAAATACATGTTCATTGGTATATTATATATTTTGAAGTTGTTTTATTTTTCCATATCTGAATTTAATTTTTCTGAGTTCTCATTCCTTTAGGAATGTAAATTCAGTTCATTCTTCATTTTTTCTGGGGTACTGGCTTTGCATCTAATTTCAGGTAAAGGTAGCTAAATAATCACAAAGACCTTGGTCTTGCAGGAGGTTATCTGGGTTGAGATCAAGGCATCCAATGTGCCTTGCCTGTGGGGAAAAAATGGTGTTTTGCAAGAGCATCTTTTGAAAAATGGATTTGGAAATTAACTTTCTTTCTGAACAAATGTAACCTGGTGCTTTCTTTTGCAATCCTTTCAGTAATAATGTTACTTTATCTGTTTTTGCTGGAGAAGTACATTTCTGAATGATGTCTATGTAATTTTGGACTGTACATTTATAGAGATACATTTAAAAAATTTTATCCCAGAAGTCACTGCTTTTCGCTTTCTCAGGAAAAAGAAACCAAATGGTTTATCTGAAGGTTCACAGTGTTTTGTTAGAAAATTGCACAAAGTGCTGATCTTTTATTCCACTAGTGGATAAAACTTCTTAACGATCAATGCACTAGAGACCACTGGTCCAATAAAATCCATTTGTCAGATGTACACACTTCTTTTGCTTCTGCTTTAAAAACTGTAACTCTCTTACATTAAGTTACCCCAGCAAAACTGATTCATACTGTACACTTTTATTAATATCTTATTGTTTTTAAATTTATGTCATTCTTAGTTAAGGTATGTTGCACTATTAAGTTATTGATTTATTTTTATAAATTCATATTCAATGCAATAATAATTAACAATGAAAAAATACACTTAACCTCACATTTAAAATGTGTGAAATATATCTAAATAGCATATTTAATTGCTATTTTTTTCTCTGAAACTACTAGTTAGTAGTCTGTAGAAAACCATCTGTGCTCTTTGGACCAATCTGGAAGAAAGTAGAGATAGGGAAGAATGTAAAACATGGCGTGTTGTATGGGACGAGGTAATACATTGACACATGAAAAATATATTTCTAATACTTCCTTTCCTATCACCCATTAAAACATTACAATCAAGCCTAAGTTTTCTAGGGTACAGGGTTTCCTTATTGTCAGAGGAATTATCTCTTCAAATTTCCAGAGCCTATTTATAGAAAATCTTCATTTATCTGATGAGTATCTTAGCATCATTAAAAGCAGCAAGAAAAGTTGTGATCTTCCTGTCATGAAGAAGCTGCTGTGAAGGTCAAATCTCTGGCCGAAAAGATGCCAGGAGTTGGCAGAGAACACAGGACAAGACTAATAGCTTCTCGTAGAAAAAGCAGTAATGACAGTAATGGCCATTACCATGCACTAAGGCCTCTTCCCACTTCCAGAGCCAGTATATATCCCCTGGAACCCTGTCCTGTTCACCATAAATGGGCAAGGAGCCCCGAGATTGGCCTGAGCCAGATGTGTTAGTAGTCATCATGAGTAGATGGGTTCTGATATTAGATTTAACTCCACTGAGAAATTGTAAAATGTGTATATTTCTCACCTATGAGTTCAATGAAACAAATTCTTATCAGCTTATATGGCACATACCTGAAAATAAAAGTAAAATCCTAGTGGAGAATTAAGGATTGAAAGAAGCCAGCTAGAAAATTTAAAATTTTAAAAACGGGGGGCCCCTTTGCTAGTAACATATTGTAATAAGATTGAAATATGTTTTTATTATGAACGAGTGTAAGTATTCTTGACTCTACAAGTTTTAAAATGCTGTCATATCAAGATAGGAGAATGGTGAGAAGAAATTATAAAGACTCAATCTTTATATGGTTATACATCCTAGAAAAGAATTATCCTAAAGATTTTGCCAGACTTACCCCTAACAGAAATTCAGGATCACATAAGATATACCATTGGTATAGATAACGAAACCTTTATTCCTCAGTGGGCAAAAAACTGTACTTCCCTTAGGAGGCAGATAAAAGGTTACTGGTGAAGCTGTGTTTAACTTTTTGTGTAGATGCTATAGTAGTTTACTGATGACTGTGGACATATTTAATTCAGGAGATACTATGATTTTCAAAGATAACTGATTTTCTATATTGAAGTAGACATTAAGATAATGTTTAAAAAGTTGTAAGGTTACTTTCTACCTAAAAATGTTACATTTTTGGCCAATGCAACTTAAATTGTCATCTTGTTAGCTCATAGTAAAATGTTATATTCTGTTACTTATTCCTGACATTAAGTAAAATATATGAACTAAAAACTAAAAGAGTTAATATTTGAAATACATCATTTTTATAATATGGACAGCTCTGCCCTTTTCTTCCTGAGAATACTATCCTCCACATGTCTTTTTTTTTATTCAGAACTGATATAATGTTAATAATATTCCACATGTTAATTATCTAGAAACCATATGAAAATGTTGGGGGTGGGGGAAAAATGCAAACCATCAAACAAACTAATGAAATATTTTAACATTAAATTTCAAAGTACAAGAAAATTACAAAAAACTTCAGCTACAGTATCGTTAACTAATACTACTTCATGGAAAGACGTCCCCATTTTGAATTGTAAATGAAGCATCTTCCTTCTTATTTCAAGTTACAATTTGGGGATAACCAATTTCTCAGGATTCTTCACAACTTTGTATCTTTTGGAAGCAAATAAACAAGGATAATTATAATTTTTGTGTTGAAAGCATAAAATGACTGGATGGAAAACATTTACAAAGATGTGTGGGGCTTCCTTTTCCTAGTGAAGGGAGCCTAGGTTATTGGAATCAACTAATCAACTATAAATTTAAGCACACCAGGAAGAATGAACAAAAAATATCAAAAGGATATGAAAAGAACACATTTTTATTGAAATTACAGAAATCAAAGAGTAAAAATGAAAGCAGACAAAAATAACCCTCCAATGACTGATATCTGACAGCCAGAAGACAACACAAAGTTCTTTAATTTGCTGAAAAAAATATTTGGCTCCTCAGAATTCTATAACAGTGAAAATATCTGTCAGGTTTGGAGGGAAAATGGCATTGAGATAAATAAAAACTAACAGACCCATCCATACGAAAGGAAATTCTAGAGGAAGCATTTCCGGTAGCAGGAAATGATTCCAGTGAAGTGTGTGTGTTACATAAAGTAAGGAAGAACAAAACTGAAAAAAGCAAAACCAAACTAAACAAAGATGAATTTTTAAAAAACACTGTGTGTAAAATAACATTTTTCCCACAAGGAGAGGATGAGTGTAGCAAGTTAAATCATAGCTCCAGTGTTTAAAGTATATGGTGGGAAACATTACTCAGGAGTGGGTCTCTTGTTTTGTTTTGTTTTTGTTTCTCTTTGATGAACATGTAAAGCTTGTATAAGAAAATAGTTAGAAATTACAAAACTGACTAAGTATACAGATTATTTTCACCATTAAGAAAAATTGAGTACAGTCCTCAAATTTAATGGGTGACTCTACTAGTGCTGTTTAGCATCATTGTTCACAACTTTGGATAGTTTAGTACTAGCATGTATCAACAGATGTTGTAAATGAGCAAGGTTAAGTAGTCAACATGCATAACTTCATATTCTTCATTGCTATTCTAGTGGAATTTTTGATGAACTTTGTGCCAAAGAGCTCAGAGAGCACACATACAGTAAATGACAGATGTGATTTACTTCAAGAAAACATTAAAACCAAATTCAATTTATTGATTTATATAATAATTACTTAGTTTAAATTTAAGTGTAATTAGTATTTTAAAAAATAAGCTTCTAGCATATTTAAGCATATTTCACAAATAACATGTTTTAAAAGGGTGGGGGCCAAAGGAGCACGTGAGTTCCAATAAAGGTATTTTTTTTTTGTTCGCTACTTCAGGAAAAATTACTCACTTCTGAAAGAGTGAGCACTTTTCTTAATCTTTAAATATAGGATTTGTATGATTAACAGACATCTCATGATTGAATTAGAAATATTAACATCAGCAATGTGTTCCAAATATCCATCACCAAATGAAATTTACTAATATCACTGCATTATAATTTATGAACTATATGACTGAGTAGTAATGCTTGCTTGCATATAAATTTTTTTATATTTCATTATGATTAAAATGTTTATTAAAATAACATTTATATACTGTTTCTCCTTTCTATCCCATTTAACTGATATATTAAACTCCCAGATTTTTACCCCCTAGAATCTTATGAAAGGACTTTTAAAATTTAGTTTTGGTTTTTAAATATATTGTAATAATTCAGAGTTGCCACATTTTGGCGAAAAGATGTATGACAGAAGAAACAATTTTGAGCTGGAGGGCAGGATGGCATGTAAGGGGAAGAAGTGTGAGTTTTTTGTGTATATGTGAATAAGGGAAATTTAATACTGCAAATATCACATTGTGTGACTTAAATCAGTTGTACATGACTTGGTAAGTAACATAATAAGCATTGAATTGATGGAAGCAGATAATGAGTCTAGCAGGTTTAAGTTAATGAAATAAAGTGAGTGAAAACAAGATAGCTGCCTACTGAGACAATAAAAGATTGAGGGTACTGTAGGCTAAGGAAGTAACTGAGATTAAAAACAATGATAATAGTAATAACAATAATAAAAATGATGTGAGAGCTAAAAGTCACTGCATGATTAGTATATGCAGGCTTTTTTTTAAACTGCTGAGTGACAATTTCAAATGGGAAGTAAAATAGAGAAAAAACAATTCTATGTTCTCCATAAAGAAAGAAAAAGTTAAGGTACTAATAGAAGTGAAGGACTTAAGATGGAAAAATTCATTCATTCAACAGGTATTTATTGACTTTTCTATAATGTACAAAGAATTATGCTATTTGATGGGAATGAAAGCATAAAGAATAAATATAGTTTCTACCTTTTTGAAATTTAAATTTGGTGGATGAAATGAGTATTAATTAAATATCCCACACAGAGACGTAAAATTACAACCACAATTATTAAGCTTACAAAGAAGAGATTTGTGATGCTGGAAAGAACATTATAGAGAAAATTCAATCTTGTCAGAAAGACTGAAAATGATTTTCTGACAATATGAATCCTGAGTTCAATTGGATAAAATTACAGTAAGAAAAAGCACAGGTTTGACCAAATCTTGAATATGTACACTTTAGGACTTAATAGAAAAATGTTTAAAAAACATCAGGTAGAGCTGGTTTTTTGAGACTGAAGAAAGAGTGAAGAGAAGTTAATGTAAAAATCAGTCACTGGCCAAATAAAAATATTCAAATGAAAATGTTAAATTTGGGCCTTAGTTTTTTATTAAATATGGTATCTTGCTAAATACTCAGATGATAGATGTACTAGCTCATTATATACTTTAATTTTCTAGTGTCATTATGCAATAAGATTTTTCCAGATATAAAATTTACCATCTTCTAAATATCATATCTGTCATTCAGGCCATCTGAATGACATAAATAATGAGATTATTCCCACTCTATTTTGTGTTATAACACAATGCACATCCCTCCTACCAAGCATTTTATATAAATTAGTGCAAACTTTTAAAAATTATATTTATTTTTTTAGAGTATGGACAAGGGAGGGAGAAAAAGAGGGAGAGAAACATTGGTTGCCTCTCACATGCCCCCAAATGCAGGCCCCCAACTAGAAACTGGGCCCACAACCCAGGCATATGCCTTGACCAGGAATTGAACTGGTGACCTTTTGCTCCTCTGGGTGATGCACAACCCACTGAACCACACTGGTCAGGACTAAGTCACTGCATACTTAATGTTAAATGTGATTCTCACACTTGTGTATGGACTCCAACACAGAGTTATATTACTTTATTAGCCCATTTACCACCTACTCTGCCCTACTATTAGATAAATCTTTGAACCTGAGATGTTTGGGATTACTTCGGGTGGTAATTTAAGCACCCTTCTGGTTTGCCATTTATTGTCTATTTCGAAAACTGTTATATATCTGTGGTCTTTATTAAAAAATTAAATTGGTTTAATCAGTACTGATTAAGACAATTATTTGATTCCAGTAAGAAATTATTAGTAGTGAAGGCATATCACTTTTCAGAGAATTATTTTTGTTATATATATATATTTAAAAATATATTCCTTTTTATAATATATTTACCACATATAAGCAATCAGACTCTTCTACTCTCATTGTATATTGGATAGGCTTTAAAATTATAAATACTATTCTGTATGCCTATTACTAGCAATAGTAGGAAGTGATTCACATCTTTCAAATTCGCCAAATTTTATAGCACATAATCATATATACACACACTTTGGTGATGTTATAGAGGAAGTTAAATGTATTTAAATTTTATTATTTTGTAATGTTAGGTTCTAGATATCTCTTAAAAGGAAAGTCAGGCTTTCTCTTGAAATGTATTTAACAATTTAGCAGATAAATTATTTTGCCTATATTTCACCTCATTTTTAAGTGTGTGGGAGGAAAAAATCAATGTATTTTGATCACTTATACAGTATTTAAAGTTTATTATTTTGTAATGTTGGCTTCTCAATATATGTAAAATTCAGACTTTCTTCTTGAAATATATTAATTTAGCAGATGAATTATTATGCCTACATGCTTTTCATCTCATTTTTAAGTGTGTGGGAAGAAGAACAATATATTTTATCACTTGCACCAAGTTAATATTCTAATGTTTCAAAAACATTATGACTAGTACAAATTACAGAAAAATATAATCAGTATTATAATATTTCATATGGACCCCTTGAGTTTATAGTTTTACATGGAGTCTGGCAGAAGTAAGGCCTGCTTGAGTGTGTTGGTGGGTAATAGTATGGGTGTAATAATTTATAGTTTTAATTTGAACATTCACCTAAAATGTCACATGGTATGTTTGAGTGTGATATTGTCATGTTACAGAATTGCATGCTTATGATTTTGTAATAAACTATTTTATAATAATAAAGGGTCATTTGTGCCAGAGCTTGTATTTGATTTGATGCATATTGTTGGATTATTAAATGATGCAAGCTCATTAAAATTTACTTTCAAACATTTGCAGAGCAACTAAAAATTTAAAAAATTTCCTGCATTCTGATTATTCAGGGAAAGCAATTGTTAATTTTGGTGGTAATTTCTTTGAGGTTCTTCTATGCATTAATACAGAATACAATTTATGAAGAGTCTGTAACAGATTTTTAAAAATTTGTTTCTTTCCCTGCTGCTGCTCTTGCCTCAGTCATGCTCTTTTGTTGTCCTCACTGAGCAACACCACTTTGATTTAAATCTGTGACCTTTTAGTAATTTTCAGGAAAAAGCATTTTTGTCCTGTTTTGTGTTATTTATAACCTTAATTAATATCAGATTTAATATTCATTTCCCTCTCCTTCCCCCAGCACTAGATAGAAATATGATGCACTATTAATTTCACTCATATTCTTTTTCCTTTTCTGGACCATTTCTTTTCTGTTTTGTTACAGTTGGGGAATCAAAAATAAGGGCACAGTGGAAAAAAAGTTTCCCCTAATATATCAAAAAAAAACTAACAATGTCAAAGGACAAGTAAAACCAGAAAAGATTGAAATAAACATGCCATGGACAAATAATTCTCAAAATTGAGATAAAAGAACTGAAAATTATATGGAAAATGAGCAAAGGACAAAGGTAAAATTTAAAGAGGAAGGTATACATGTAGTCATTAAACATATTAAAAGAAAAATTACTGATAAAAATTGTTACTATATACAAATAACATGATAGAAGATAGAGAAAACTCTAAAAACTTTACAAAAAAATATTAGAATTAATAAATTTAGAACTAGGGGGAAGATGGCGATGGGGTAGGATGGAGCGGATTCCAGTTCCTGTATACATGGGAGAAAATCCTGGCCCATCTATAGAGGAACAGGGCAAACAGCCAACAGTTCCCCAGCATATATGAAAATAAGAGACCAGAGTTTGTGAGGGACACTGAAGGACCAGACAGTAAGGAGATAGCGCAGGTCAGTGGGGTCTTTGGGACCTGAGCAAAGACAAAGAGCAGAGACCATAGTGGGTGACCAGCACCTGGTGCATCTGCCACAGACTCTTTGGAAGCCCTGGCACCTGGCGGGTCTATGGCAGACTTTTTGGGAGGGGAGCCTTGGGCCTGCTGCAGGGACCTTGGGAGAGAGGTGGGTCATCAGCTCCCTCTCTCCCCATCTAAGCAAAGTTGGACAACACTGGGGAGAGACCTTTCTGCTCCAGTTTACAGAGAGGGTAATTAGGACAAAGAGCTGTGTTCAACCTCAGACTCTGTGGTCACCAGCCCGGGAGAATTGAGAGGCGCATTACTGGGCTCTGACTCTGATAGTCACCAGTCTGGCTGGGGGATTAGGTTGTGCTGAGTAGGCAGGCTTTCTCGAGAATGTTTTTTTTTGGAAAGTAAACTGAAGGATTCTCCTGCGACAGCCTCTTGGCAAGTTCCCCACCCAGCCTGGCAGCAATCTAGAGGATGGGTGGAAGCACTTGAGTTCCCCCACAGAACTGGGGAGGTCTGTGCCAGACCTCACGGGACTCAGACAGCCTGGTTGGTGCGCGCACCCCAGCCCACAGTGAGGACCCCAAGGAAAGTGCTCTCAAAAAACCTAGATCACCTTTGTGGGGCACTGGGGAGAGGCACTGGGCTAGGTCTTGGGAGAGCGCTCACAGAAAGACCACAGCAATCACCCTCAGCCTGCTGCAGTCAGATAAACCAGTTTGAAACCAACAAGAGATTTTTTAAAAAAGTAATCTTAATATGACTGCTGGCAACCTCACTGCTTTCTAGATCCAACTCACAAGCCTTCCCTCCCCAACAAGAGACTTATCTTTTGTCTATCCTTTCTTAAAGTGGCAAGTAGGGTGGAAGATTACGGTTAACACTATACATAGCCTAAAGATCTATCTCTTCTCTACTGGCTGTGACTGTAAATATCATAAAATATTCTCCGGCTGTCATAAACCATTTTGCCTCCCCCTCCAACTGATAACACACACACAAAAAGGAGTAGGTGGAAACGGAGAACATCAGGATACCCAAAGGAGATTGCACTACTGAATTTAACAGGTATTCTGCCACAGAACTTCACACCACAAACCCAGGGAGTCAGAACAGACCAATTTAAGAAGCTGAGGCTAACAAGAAGAGTCTCACAAACAATGGGAAGACAAAGAAACAATCCCCAAATGAAAGGAAAGGAGGAAGCCTCAGAAAGAATGTTAGATGAAATAGAGGCAACTCAACTATCAGATACTGAATTCAAAGCAATGGTTATCAGGAATTTCAAAGAGCTCACAATGAGCTACCAGAAACTACAGGGGAGCTACAATGAACTCACAGAAAACTATATCAACATGAAAAAGGAAATAGAAACTATCAGCAAAGGCCAAGAGGAAATGAAGAATACAATTTCTGAATTGAAGAACACAGTAGAAGGAATCAAAAGCAGGATCAATGAAGCAGAAGATCAGATCAATGAGTTGGAGGACAAAGTAGGAAAAAAAACTCCCAGAAAGAGCAAGAAAAAGAAAAGAGGCTCAGAAAGAATGAAGAGGAATTAAGAGAAATGTAAGACAATATGAAACATAACAAGGTCCAAATAATAGGGATGCCAGAAGGAGAAGAAGAAGAACAAGGGATAGAAAACCTATTAGAAAAAGTAATGAGGGAAAGCTTCCCTAATTTGATGAGAGAAGTCACACAAATCCAGAAATCACAGAGTCCCAATCAAGAGGAACTCAAAGAGACCCACTTCAAGACACATCATCATTGAAATGGCAAAATTTCAAGATAAAGAGATAATTTTAAAGGCAGCAAGGGAGAAAAAAGAAGTAACATACAAGGGAACCCCAATAAGGTTAGCTACTGACTTCTCAATGGAAATACTCTAAGCAAGAAGAGAATGGCAAGAAATATTTCAACTAATGAGAACCAGACACCTGCAACCAAGGCTACTTTACCCAGCAAGGCTCTCAGTCAGGATAGATGGCCAAATAAAGAGCTTCCAAGATAAAAGAAGTCTAAAAGAATATGCCTCTACCAAACCAGCTCTGCAAGAGATGCTAAAAGGACTGCTTTAAGGAAAGGAGGGAAAAGACAGAGTCAGAGAGGAATACAGGTACAAAAATGACAATGAATAAGTACCTATCAATAATATCCTTAAGCGTAAATGGATTAAATGCTCCAATCAAAAGACATAGAATAGCTGAATGGATAAGAAATCATGACCCACACATATGCTGCCTACAAGAGACCCACCTCAGGACAAAAGACCAACACAGACTAAAAGTGAAGGGCTGGAAACAAATTTTCCAAGCAAACAGACAAGGAAAAAAAGCTGGGGTAGCAATACTCATATCAGACAAAATAGATTTTAAAAAAAGGGGGCCATAAAGAGAGACCCAAAAGGTTACTTCATAATACTCAAGGGAAGAATCCATCAAGAAGACATTAACATCGTAAATATATATGCACCCAACATAGGAGCACCCAAATATATAAAGAAAATCTTAGTGGACTTCAAGAAAGATATTGACAGCAACACAATTATAGTAGGGGATTTTAATACTCCACTGTCAAAAATGGACAGTTATTCCAAACAAAATATCAACAAAGATATTGTGGCATTGAACAACTCTCTAGATGAAATAGACTTAACTGATATATATATATAGAGAGAGCCCTTCATCCCCCCCCAAACTAAATACACATTCTTTTCAAATGCACATGCAACAGTTTCAAAGATATACCACATGATAGGACACAAAACAAGCCTCAACAAATTCAAAAAAATTAAAATCATACCAAGCATTTTCTCCAACCACAAGGGACTGAAACTGGAAACCAACCCCAAAGGAAAAAACCCAAAACACCCAAAATCATGGAGATTAAATTGCATGCTATTAAACAACAAATGGGTCAGGAATGAAATTAGGGAAGAAATCAAAACGTTTCTGGAATCAAATGAAAATGAACTCACCACAACTTAAAATTTATGGGACAAAGTGAAGGCAGTCTTGAGAGGAAAGTTCGTAGCAATACAGGCCTACCTAAAGAAGATAGAAACATACTGAACAAACAACATAACCCTATGCCTGCAAGAACTTGAGGAACAACAAAAACAGCCCAGAGCAAGTAGAAGGAAGGAAATAACCAAGATCAGAGCAGAACTAAATGACATAGAGATGAAAAGCACAATTCTAAGGATCAATGAATCCAGGAGCTGTTTTTTTTGAAAAGGTAAACAAAATAGACACACCATTAAGTAGGCTCATCAAGAAAAGAAGAGAGAAGACCCAAATAAACACAATCAGAAATGAAAGAGGAGAGATTAAAATGGATACCACAGAAATAGAAGGGATTGTAAGAAATTACTATGAAGAACTGTATGCCAAGAAATTTGAAAACATAGGCAAAATGGACAAATTTCTAAAAAAAAAAAAAAACTTCCAGAACTCAATGAAGAAGCAGAAAGCCTGAACAGACCAATAACAGCAGATGAAATTGAAGCAGTAATCAAAAAATTCCCAACACACAAAAGCCCTGGACCAGATGGTTTCACAGGAGAATTCTACAAAGCATGTAAGGAAGAGCTAACCCCTATTCTTCACAGACTATTCCAAAAAATCCAGAATGATGGAAGACTCCCAAACTCTTTTTATGAAGTCAGCATCATCCTAATTCCAAAACCAGATAAAGACACAACGAAGAAAGAAAATTTCAGGCCAATATCACTGAATGAACATAGATGCTAAAATCCTTGACAAAATATTGGCAAATTGCATCCAACAATACATTAAAAAGATCATCCACCATGAGCAAGTGGGATTCATCCCAGGGATGCAAGGATGGTTAAATATTCACAAACCAGTAAATGTAATACATCAAATAAAAGCAAAGACAAA